ATTACTTGTTATTAAACAAAAGTTAAATACTGTAAGTTTTATAATAGTAGAGAAATAATTTATCATTTTAATTTTGTTTTTTTAAAAAAAATTATTTTTCGTATGTCTTTTAAAAATTAATAAAAAAGGACTTTTTCTCCAAGTCAAGGCACTAACAATAAAATCAAAAGTATTAGTGAAATACATTTCATTTCCCTTACTTTTTTATTTAATAATTTCATTAAAGATTTACATAAATATCACTTAATTCTTATGTATTCATATGTAAAAGTTGAAATAATGATATGTTTTATGTGATACAATATTATTGGGTGGTATAACCATAAATAATTAAAAAAAACACAAAGTTTAGGTATTAGACATGTAAATAAATAGGAATTTGGGTGGTATGTATGTAAATGCCCCTAATTTTATTTAATTTCACCTTACTAACAACCAATAGTAGTTTCATTAGTATTGAGTGAAGTTTTGGGTAGTTTATTTAGTGCGATTGCGTTTTGAAAATACACCTGGTATGTTTGAGTAAATTATGTTTTGGTAGCTTATACGTTTTCAAAACACTGAAAATAGTGTTTTCACACAGCACCTAGATAGGTGTGGTGACAGTTTTCTGACAGCGGTCAGACTTTTCTAAAAAAATAAAAATTTGTAATAGACACAACACATAGCTTATTAGCAGATTATTTTTAATCTGCTTGTCAACAGATTATTCAATAAGCTACAAGTGCTCCCAAACATATCCGAAAATGTAATATTTAAAATTGGATAGTTAAAATATAATATTTAAAATTTGGAGGATTAAAATGCGATATTGAATATTTGATGATTAATATGCAAAACCCGTAACAGTAAAAAGCTGCTTCAATTCTTACACCAACTGCTTCTCCCTGCAGCACCCGTACGTCTATGCAGTGCTGGTTTTTGAAGCCATGGCCACCTTCGTCGGTCAGATCTCCGTTTTATCTCTCATCGCCATTTTCGGCGCAGCAACCACAGCCATGGTCAGTTCATTCATTCTTCTTCCACAATCATTCAGAAAAGTTCAAGCTTTTCTCTGCTGTATCTTCTTCCTCATAACCCTCCATGGTGTTTCAATATGCAGGTAACAACTGCAAGGAAAGCAGTAACTCTTCTCCTCTCGTATTTGATATTCACGAAGCCTATGACGGAGCAGCACTGCACAGGGCTTTTGCTCATCTCCATGGGCATTATTTTGAAGCTTCTGCCTGAGTATAAGGAAAAGAACTATGTTCCTCAGAAGCCAAAGCAGCGGCTGGAGGAAGAAGAAGGGATGGAGGAGAAAGAAGAGAAAATGGCTTTGGTTTGAAATTGAGAGAGGGAGAAGGAAGGATTTGTGAGCGGATATTTGTTTTGTTTGAAGAATCTGGAGGAGGATTCTGAAGGTGGCTTCTTTGTTTCTGGTTTGGGTTCATTCATTGGCCTTTTTTTGTGTGAGCTTCATTATTTTTTTTAAATATTTCTTCTTCATGTTGTTTTAAAAGGAAAGATATAATGCTGGGAAAACATTCACAGTTTGATATAGATGTAATAGCTCAGTGATGAAATAAGTTGACAA